TGCCGTATTGAAGACCAGTTCTAAAACATTTATTTGACCGTAGTAATTGCTAGTAAAATCGTTTGCTTAAAAGGACACAATTCAGTTTAAACTAATTTTTTTTTTTTTTTTTAATAAATAAATAATTTTGGCAACTTGACATTTTTATAGCAGAGTTACAACCGAATCAGCGGTGGGCCTTAAATTCGTTAGCGAATAAACCACGGTCACGTAATCCAAAGCACTGGTATCACTTTACAGCCCTTCACCGCATTCATAAATGCGGGATAACATACTTCCGTTACCTTACAGAATTGTTCTTCAAAATCTCTGCTGGCGTAATGAGTGCTTCGTAGTTCGTCCCATGATGATATCCTTGTGCCCAGAGACAGTTGGTGTCCGTTATTTTACCTCACGATAATCATCGTTCCACGAAATCCCCGACAGATTATTATTAGGTACCGTACGCCGTAAAGTCGATCGCTGTTTTATTTTTCGTCGTACCGCGGCAGCAGCAATAATAATTTTAAGTGGTTAACCTTTTCGGATCTGCATTGTGGTCGACGGAGGCCGGTCCGGCGTGGTGTTCCCGTCAAGGGAAAGAGCTTAACAGCGAGATGGTTAATGTAGGGGCACTCGTACAGATTGGCGAACTGACCGGTAAGCGACACCGTCATATTATGTGGCATTGTCAGGCGTAATTGAAGCCGTCTTTGAGATAGAGTTATACAGACAGCTTTGAACGCCAAGCGTGAGAAGCGCCGATTGCTGATTTATTTCATACCGTCTGACAGCGTAGTTTTCTGCTCTGTCTACAACGTGTCAATTTATGTTCGGCTACTGCACCATTGTTTTGCAATTTAAATTCCATCTCGACATATTGCCAAAAATACAGTGATATGATGAAGACCAAAATAACAGGTTACGTTGGTCAATAAAAATATTATCGAGTTTAATACAGACATGTTCAGCGAAGTACAGAGCGCGCGCGTCGAAAATTGTTGAATCAGTGATATTTTACGTAAGATTGATATTCTATTTCTTTTTCTAGCGGTTTCATCTCTTCATATGCCTATAATATATTTGACGATTACCGAACAACTTTGCATGATGTTAAAGAGATCTTCGAAGTTCAGGTATAAGTTATTTATGGACTCATCAGCAGCTCTTTGCCATGTATTGCTCTTCACTACTTAATAATCCTTGTTTCTTTAAATCCTTTCATCTGACTTCAGTCGACTGTCTGAAAGTCGAAGAAATGGAAAGGTGGTCGACTACAGGGCATTTTTGGCTGGAATAATAAATTCTGTGAAATCGTACACCTGTTTCCCTCTTTGTTTTTCGATTAGCAGTCGACTGGAGTCGGGATTAGTCTGAAAAGAAGTTTAAATTTAAGGTAAAGTAAGTTATAAGTAGTGAGGAGCTAATGCAAGGCCAAAACAACTTGATGAGTCCCTTAAATAAACTATAGCTGGACTCCGAGCTGTCTTTATTTTTTAATTATACCAAAAAGTTGTTCAGTGTCGCCAATTATATTATAAGAATATATTGCTAGTACGGCATTTACACAGTGAGTGGAAAGTGAAGCCATAGAAAAGAAATAGGAATATCGATCTTGCATAAATCTATGCTTTTGGTTCAACAGGATTTTCGTGCGCACGCGCCAATAAAACGATCTGGTTTGTCTACTTCATCGCTGAACGCTGTCACCTGCCCGCGCACTATTTTATACTCGAAATATTAGTAACGTATAATATATTATTTTTTTATTGGTAATGGCATTATTTCAACCTGTTATTTTAGATGTTCATCATATCTATCCGTTTCTTGTTTTTGTTTAAATATGTCAGAGATTAAATTTAAATTTATAAGTAATGGTGCGAATAGTCAGACGCTAACTTGATTTACGTGGTAGATATAAACTTAGAAAACTACTTCTATTGGTTAGTATGAAATAAACCAACTAATCGAGAAGCACTTCTCACGCTTGCGTAGTTCAAAGCTGTTGAACGAAAAGGACCGACTTATGTGGATTTTGTATAGCTCCATCTCAAAAATTTGGCTTCAATTTCGGTTCCTTACTAGCAATATATTCTTACCATATATTTGAGTGTCGCTTACCAGTTCTAGTTCATAATCTATTACGGGTGCCCCGCCATTATAATCAGGTTCTGCCCATCTCACTGTTAAAGCATCCGCTCTAGCTTTTCCCACTAATTTGGGAGTACCACACTTCCCTGGACCTATGGCCTCCGTCGTTACAGTACACGGATCCGAAGGACAACTCTGGCCACCTAAAATTGATATTATATATTCAGTACGACAAAAAAATATCTAAAACAGTCTGATCAAAAACTTTTACATCGTACGGTACGTACGGTACCTAATAATAATCTGTCAAGGACGATTTCAACAAAAGACGTCAATTATCTGTGAATTAAAATCACAGACACTAACTGTCTCTGTCTACAAGGATCATATCATAGGACAGACTTCTAAGATTCCTACAAACGCTCAGTATACACTATTTATATGGGAATGATGTTTTTAGAGAACAATTCTGTATGGAATCCGGCAAGGAGTATGACCTATCCACATTTATGAGATACTCAGTTGAAGAGGAAGAACAATGGAAGTCAATGTATAAGTGATACCAATTAAACTTTTAGTTACGTAACCGTGGACATATTCGGCACCGGGCTAACTGGAATTTAAATTTACCGCTGAGGATTCAGTTGGTAGCTCTGCTGTAAAAAATGTCAAGTTGTCACATTTAATTATTTATTTCCTGACATTTATTTTACGTATTACAAATTTTTGGTTTAAATGAATTGTGATGTGATACTTTAAGCTTAAACATTTTTTACTAGCAGACCTTGCAGTCAAATAAATGTTTTTTTAGAACTTCTTTTAGTGTTAAGTGTACCAGATAACTTAATAGCCGTTGCAAACAACTCATCGCAACCTTATTAGAGTATTTAGAACGGGAAAGCGGTAGTAATGGCCCTTTATATCCCTTAAGTGCTGTTAAGGAGGTGAGTTTTGTTGATGTAAATAATAACTGTTTATGTATTTATAATTAATTTATTTTTGTTTTCTAAAATATTTTGATTAAAAGAAAATATGTATAAAAGTGGGCAACGCTGTGCCGGTCAAGCTTAATCACGCGACTAAAAGTTTATTTGGTAATTAATATATTCTACGCTTGATCCATTTAACGGACAATAGCTCCTCTATTAAGGATGGGGCATTGAATTTTTTTAAATACCGCATATTATTTTGTATTTATTATTTTAATACATACCAGATGATGCACAGCTAACTCTCAATTGGTATGTCGTTCCTGGCGTTAACCTATCGCAAACAGCTTCCGTTTCCGAACCACTATAAACTTGTTCGTACCCGCTACCAGAATTGACTTCTAAGATATAACTAACAAGACAAAATAATATAATTAATAAATATACGAAATCCAAATAGCTGGAGACAACTGTGGACAATGCTGGTTCCGTATTCCACTGAGAAACGTCATTAATTATTCCAGTGATGATAATTATTCAAGTCAAGTCATAGATAAAGGAAATAAGTTTATATTGGAAAGTGCCCATAAGGACAATGTAAATACTATTTGGCGCTACTCTTCCAACGGTCGCTCTCCAAAGCTTTTGATAATTTCGGAGCGGTTCAGCTTTTTCCGGAATTATGTTGTAATTAAAATGTAAAATTATGTTTAAATTAAACTCACAAGATAGAATTAAAATTAAACACTTTTCGGTATTTTTTTCAATGAGGGCAGTTTAAATTTTGAAAGATTTTATAATTTTTGAAGATTCTGACTTTGACAAGAGAAAATTATTTCTGTTCTTGTTTACGGTTGTTCTTAGCAACCACTATATCAGTGCCAGATCCCGTACAACGTATGCACCCCAAAATAATAATCATAAGTTTTGGCGGAAAGCCGAGCATTCCATTCTATACTTGTTTCCTTTATCTATGAGTCAAGTGAAGTTTAAATAATAACAAATATGTCAGTTAAAATGTCAAACAAAAGTGTCAAACATCTGGGGCCATAATTTAGGATTTTATTAGGTACTTACTGAGTGATTTCAGCTCCACCAGTGTTATGAGGTGGTTCCCATTTTAATCTAAACGAATACGCATGTATCCTGCCCTTGACTACAGGTTTAGAGGGCCTATCCGGTCTATCAGGTTTGGTCCTAAAAGTAACTTCTTCGGACCATGGTGACGTCCCACCCTCGTTATTAGCTTTTAACCTGAAATTTAAATTGTTTATTAATATACATGGTTCAGCAATAGTGCGTCGGGCATCTGTAGCTCTTAGAATAAAAAAAATTTTGAATTTTGTTTACAGCCCCGTTCTCAGAACGTTGTATCTGTGGTTGTATTGTCGCTGGCGACACAGTTTGGCATTTTAAACAACCAATGAGAGCTGTGGTAAATTTAAAATTGACAGCTGTTTGAATTTTGCAAATACGTTTAAAATAAAGTATACGGAGGGTACCGCTTAAATTCCTGTCCCGATGTTGAAGGATGGCTATAGAATTTCAATGCATTTCCTACATAAGTCTATCCTTGTGTTGTAGGAGGTTTGACTAAACAAGGATGAACATATGTCTTGAAACCATTCGACTCGATTTTCTGTCCTCCTTCAATACTGGGACGTAAATCCTCTCGTTGCTCTTATGGGGAGGCCGTCGTATATTTTATTTAAACGTATTTGGAATTTTGTATAAATCTGATTGGTTCCCTTGACGTGTCGCTGGCGACAGACGAAGTTCTGAGAACGGAGAGCTTAAGTGCAAACCTAAAGTATGTATATTTAAGGAAAATATTTTAATTTCTACCGGGAGGCTCAAAAAAGTGTGAGTGGATCGGGATGATTTTTTTTAAATGGGACACCCTGTGTATTATTGCATTTTTGGCTTTCTTTCAGACCACTTTACATAATCCTAAGATATGAGTAAATATATACAGGGTGTCCCAGAAATAAGTGCAAATATTTTTAGGGGTGGTAGTTCTCGATAAAAGAAACATATTTTCCCTTTATCGTTTTTCAAATAAGTCCAAAATAACGGAGTTATTTTACTTTGAAAATTTCCAAAAAAAAATATTATTTGCTAAAATTTTGAAAACCACTGGATCTTTTCTGAATTTTCTTTCTTGTAAATTTAATCTAATACCTATTTTGTTGCCATATTATCAAGAAATTATGTTTTTAACTAAAAACTAAAAAAATTTCCAAAAAAATTTTCAAAAAATATCGAATTTTCAAATTTTTTTTTTGCGAAAAAAACCTCATAGGCGTGTTTCTGGGGTTGAACTATACTACCAGTTAAAATATTTGCACTTATTTCTGGGACACCCTGTATAGATAATATTTCGGTAGTTTCAGAGATATTAATAAATAAATAAAAAATATAATTTTTTAGGCTTTCTTAAAAAAATTATTAAAAATACAAGAACTGTCCTGAACTCAACCTATTTACTTTAGATTGTCTGTACTTACTTTCCTATAAATATCGTATTCTTAAATCACACAGGGTGTTCAAAATTCTACGCCAAACTTTCGAAAATATAAAATAATTTTTCTTGTTTTTTTTTAACGTGGAACACCCTGTAGATTATTTCTTTATTAGACGGAGAATTATGAAATGAACATTTTTTGCATTTAAAGTATTTCAAAATTTTTAACGGTTTCGCAGATACTCGCGGTATTATTTCACATTACTCTTTCAACGGCAAAAATACGAGTGAAATATCATTGGGTGGCTTTGATATAGTAAACGCCACGAATGTTTGGGGAGTGATTCATCGGTCGCTACCATGTGAACTAATCTCTTCAAGGTCACATAAAACTTAATTCCAGTGCCGTGGTGTTTCAAGTCATATAATAATCAATATATAATCTGTTGTAATTTGTTGTTTTAACTGTCAAAGTCTTGTCAAAACCTTTGAATAAGAAGACTAAGGAAGGAGCATAATGCTATCCATGTATTCATGCATGGTGGGCGGAAAAAGCGCCATAAAAGCACTCTAGGGTGGGGATCCTTGACAGTTCTGTTTGACGATTCATTTGACACATTTGAATTTGATTTGCAATTTTGTGGATTTGTCAGTCTTTACGGAGCTTATTTTATGTTATTTATTATTTATTCTACTACTGATAGTTGTATAAAGGTAGTAAATCTAGATGGAAATTGTGGCAGAACTTAAATTAACAGTGACCTATCGCGATTTATCGAAAAAGAAAAGTAAGTGACTATATAATATACATACGTGTAGTAAACCGATCATTTATGAAATTCACTTAAATTAACTAAATTATATATTTTTCTTGCATTTTAGCTTTTATTTATTACTTGTCAAAGAATTTAGATACGTTAATTTGACTTACCTGCTCTAGTAGCGTATCGGATGTTTGTGTTAATAAATACTTATTATAACTTATCTATTTTTATTAGAATTATATATTTTTATAACAATTTTAATAACCACCAACATTTATTCACAACGTAACATAAAACAACAAATTATTGAGTCTACCCTACGTCTACCCTACATCATAGTTTTACATTTTTTAAATAAAATTAGAACGACACTGATAAACTGGAATTTAAGTCGGCCATATTTGAGGCCCATCGCGGTGTACCTAAGATTTTTGATATGCTCCTTCCTTAGTCTTCTTATTCAAAGGTCAAAACATATATTTGGTTATAAATATAAAATGGAATGCCCCATTGGTCGCACTGCAAGCACACCAATGGACTAACGCACAAAAACGAATCAAAGAAACGCGATATAGTATCGTCTTTGTCAATCACGCTGACATTTTAGAAAAAGTAGGAGAAGCGCAGACAAATGATTAAACCGGGCCTTTAAAAACCTACGTCTGCGGTAAAAATTTACGTTTTTAATGTAAAAATGATAGTGCGCGTGTCGATTCTAACTTCATCAAGCGATGAATCACTCCCAAACATTCGTGGCGTTTACTCTAAAAATTTACTGTAGAAAATGCCATATGAAATATAACACCGAGAATGTCGAATATCTACAATATTCCTTAATGTGTATATACCCAGATAGTTACCTGTAAATACCCATTTACGTCAAAACTGCTTTAAATTGAATATATACTAAATTATGACGGCTAAAACATACAAATCCCTACCTAAAAGTATAATCACTGTAACAGCTAAGTCTCTGGCAGATGTAGTACGTCTCCCGTCCGTTGTAAACGTTCATGGGCCGTACTTGGTTTTGGGATCGTTCATTTGAAGCACGAACTCGTCATCTTTAGGCCGGTGGTTTCCATTTCAAGTGAAGCGTTGAGACGGTGGCCTCTATCAGTGTCGGAGCATCGGGTTGAGCTGGCGGGTTCTCTGTGGTTCTGAAAAAACATCAAATTATTCAAATAATTACATGCAACTATCTTTGGCTGCGGTAGACAATTAATTCCGCGCCATTTTTCATCCGTAAATTTTTTACTCCAGCCCGCCAACGGAGAAAGATCGTACGATAACGGACGTTTTGACACTTTTTTGACAATTTTAATCTAACCTTAATAAAAATAGAATAGTACAAGAGCTAGCACCATCAGGAAAACAAGAATTTTAAAAAAGCTGGTTCTTTAATATATCTTTTATTCTCCTGACCAAAGTGCGAGCCGTCTGGCTGCCGGTAGACTACTGCGCATCACATCTGTACAGGGTATCCCATTTTCTTGTGTTTTATGAGATTTCTCGTTTATGAGTAGAGATACAATAACGCGATTTTCAGACTACCTTGCTACCTTTTTATGAAACTAAATATGCTACACATAGGTTGGTCCTAGCCTCCTTACTTCCTGAAATCCAGGGCGAATTTGCGATGCGCAGTAGTAAACAGCTGTTTAATACAGATATGATGCGCAGGAGTGAACGCGCAGCTAGACGGTCCGCACTCTGTTCAGGAGAGCATAGCAAAATATATATTAAAGAACCAGCTTTCTTAAAATTCTGTCTCGAAAACGTTGCTAGCTCTTAGAGTATATACAGTGTGACCCACTCAAGACCGGGCACCCTCCATAAAATCTGTGTTTATAGTCCGATTTTGATGATTTTTTTTTCAAATATAAAGTTTCAAAAAATGTACTTTAGGGCTCAATGTCATGTTATTTCACAAAAAACAAGGCCTACTTAATAAAGTTTTTGTGGTGAAAATTTGCAAAATCATATTAGCGATTTTTTTTCAAAAAAGTTGAGTACACCCCTACATTCGGCATCCCCCAAAACAGTTCTGTACCAAATTTCGTTTAAAAATATTAATTATTAATAATTTTGCAGTTAAATTAAATAATTCCCTATTTTTGCCAATTTAACGATGAGTTATCAAGTAACCCTTTGAAAAACAATCCACGACAACGAGTTTTATTACAAACAATGATAAACATACTACAAGCAACACAATAACCGATTAATAAGTTAAACATATTCAAATAATTCTAGTTGCTTCTACCAGCCCTCCATTCAGTTCAATACATTTGTCGCATTTTTTTCTTAGATTAACAGTTACATTCCTAAGCTGCTGTGGTGTAATATTTGCAGAAGCCTCTGTAACTCTAATACGTAATTCATCTACAGATTGAGGTCTAGACTTGTAAACTTGTTGCTTTAAGAAACCCCAAAGAAAGAAATCAAGGGGTGTTAGGTCCGGGGATCTCGGTGGCCACCAATTAGCGGGCTATTTCGACCTATCCACTTATTTTCAAAATTTTCATTTAACCATTCCCTGACAACTGCCGCGTTATGCACAGGTGATCCGTCCAATTGAAATTTTAAATTCAAACGGGTTTGGCATGGTAAATTATGTATTGCATCCCAAAAGTCATTAATCAGAAAATTCAAAAACGTTGGACTATTCAAATTTCTCTCAAAAAAATATGGACCAATGATTCTATCATCAAGTATGCCACACCACACATTTAATTTCTGAGAATACTGTCTTCTTGTATTGATCACCCATTCAGGGTTTTCGACTGCCCAGAATCGCGAATTTTGAGAGGATACTACTCCGTTTGTACTAAATGTTGCCTCATCACTAAATAAAATTTCTTTTAAGAAATTTCTATTATTTAAATACTCTGCTTGAGCCCATAAGCAGAATTCTAATCGTCTAACATCATCTCCGTTTTCCAAAGTGTGTAAAATCTTTGGTTTAAAGGGTTTAACTTTATTAGTTCGCAAACATCTCCTAATATTTTCCCTTGGTATATCCAAATCAACACTGGCGCCTCTAATGCTTGCACGAGGATTGTTACGAAAATATTCTAATATTTCCTCATTCCGCCTATTTATTCGATGTTCCGGCCTTCTGTTTTTTAGTAAGTATTTTGACACACAACCAGTTTCATTAAAAACTCTATTTATTCGTTGAACCGTGCTTCTACTTACTGCAGGTCTGTCGGGATGTCTGTTGTTAAATTCTCTGGCAGCTTCTCCTGCTTGAAGATAGTTATCACCCACTAAACGAATAATTTCAATTTTATCCCTAATATTTAATTGTTCCATAATGCAAATAATATTTCTTGATACAACACTTTTCTGCGTGCTATTAAATTAATATTCAATTCTACGCTGCAAGAATTGACAGCTAATAAAACCCATTGTTGTGGATTGTTTTTTTCAAGGGTTACGTGATAACTCATCGTTAAATTGGCAAAAATAGGGAATTATTTAATTTAACTGCAGAATTATTAATAATTAATATTTTTAAACGAAATTTGGTACAGAACTGTTTTGGGGGATGCCGAATGTAGGGGTGTACTCAAATTTTTTGAAAAAAAATCGCTAATATGATTCTGCAAATTTTTCACCACAAAACTTTATTAAGTAGGCCTTGTTTTTTGTGAAATAACATGACGGGGTATCCGTGAGAAGGGAAACGATATTCTCTCGATGTTTTTCGTAAAAAATTAGAGGACGCGTCCCATCAATAAAAATTCGACAAATTTGCAAGTAGCCAATAAAATGAGTGGGCGGAGCGATTTGCGGTGACGTACTCGTCAAGTCGACGTATAAAATATATTGCTGTTTATTTAAATGTTTTTTTGTCCGCATTCCTTTCATATACACAGATCCAGCAGACGCACTTTATATCCGATGAACGGAGGCATAAAAATGTAATAAATTAAAAAACTGCGTAATTTTCTAACCAATCAAAGTTTTTAAATTCAGCCAATAACATTAATATCGCTTCATCCTATCGTCGGACAACGGATGCATGAAAATCAAGTTTAAGTTGAAATATATAAAGACAATGGAATTTTAGTATTAGTTAACTTATTATTTGTTTATTTGTTATTTACCTGTAAGTTACAGTGTCAGAGTAAGCACTCTTTCCCACCTCGTTCACTACAGCTAATCTAAACCTATAGGCAGTGGCGGGTAGCAGTTTTTGCAGATTGAACTGCGTCTTTCCCCTACTTTTATGGATCTCTTCGAATTCGCCTCCTTTTCCAGCATCGTATTCTAGGCTATAGAAGAGTATTCTAGCTCCATTGTCGTTTACTTGGTTCCACCTTAAAGAAAATTAAAAAACATCATCTAGGTTGGGTATGAAAATTACTAAATTGATAATTTTAAATTAATTATAGATTAATTTATGACTTATAAGCGATACCAATTAAACTTTTAGTTACGTAATCGAGGGCACCATTTTTAAATTCATTGTTGCCAACCATGGGTATATTCAACACCGGGTTGACTAACTGAAATTTAAATTTTCCGCAGGGGATTCAGGTGGTAGCTCAGCTGTAAAAAATTATATCAAGTTGCCACATTTATGTATTTATTTTCTGACATTGTCATTCGTTTTGATACTTTAGTTTTGTATTACGAGTTTTTGGTTTAAATGAATTGTGTTGTGATACTTTAAGTTGAAATATTTTTACTAGCAGATCTTGCAGTCGAAAACTGTCCTTTTTAGAACCTCTTTTAGTGCGAAGTGTACAAGATAGCTTAATAGCCGTTGCAAACAATTCATCTTAACCTAATTAGAATATTTTGAACGGGAAAGCGGTAGTAATGGCTCTTTATATCCCTTAAGTGCTGTTAAGGAGGTGAGTTTTGTTGATGTAAATAATAATTGTTTATATATTTATAATTAATTTATTTTTATTTCCTTATATTTTAATTAGGTAAAAGAAAATATGTAAAAGTGGGCAACGCTGTGCCGGTCAAACTTAATCACGTGACTAAAAGTTTATTTGGTCTGATATATCTTTGTTTTATTTCTTACTGAAGTAATATAAGTTTTTATTAGTCTTGGTTGCTCTAACCATAAAAATAGAGTCATAAGTCCCTTGTTACATTATTAACGGGAATTAAGATGCCATAATTCCTTCTAGCTTTTATAGGTAACAACCAAGAACGGCAAATTAATAGGATTGCTCATCCTCATAAGACGTATGTTCGCCTCTTCCCGTGCTTCAGCTGACAGTTGTGACGTCATTGTAGTCCTTGTCGTGATAGTGTGTATTATTATTTGCCTATGGTAAACTTATAAAAATAACAGCTGAGAAATTTTGAGTTAATTATTTTGTCAATTTCAAATGCGAAAAAGGTGATTTTACAGTTTTTAGAGCTATAATAATATAGAGTGTATAAATACGTTCATTTTGTGTTGTGGATTGTGACTAAGTGCTTACTAAGTGCCTACGATTATTGTTTATTAATTATTTTATAGCAAAATATGGAAGTACTCTAAAAAGAATGCCTGCAAAAGGTGATGCTAGGAACTGCTGTTCTTAAAAATGTATTATCCGAGTATTTAATACGATTTATACAGTTAATTTTCTATACTGCATACACATAAGGTGTTTAAATAAATAAACTAAATAATGAACGTTTTACATCCGGCAACCAATAATACACACGCTATCATAACCAGGACTACAATGACGTCACAAAGCGAGGAGTTTTTGCATGCACCTGGCAAACATTTTGGCTGAATGAGCAGTCCTATTAACAACCATCAAATACAATAGAGATTCCGAGTAATAATATAAAATGAAAATGGACACTCATCAAACTACTCTAATAACTTATTTATGTCATTAATGCCACCACGATAATTTATTTTGACTTATTGTTTCTGTTTAAAAAAATCTTAGTGATGTATACCTGAGTTGTAATGAATTCTTAGTCTTGGCTCCTAGTTTTGGCGGCAAGGGCTGGTCAGGTTCACAGGCCGGCGTTACGAATTTCACAGGGTCAGTGGCGTATCCTTGCAATTCGTCCAAATGTACTTGCAAACATACAGAGTATTCTTGGCCAGGTTTTAAATCCTAACAAGACAAAAATATCGAATTAAATAATTAAAGAGCTTATTGTAATAACATGATCAAGTCACTCAACCATATATCAATGTTATTAACTAGTAACTAGTGTTTTTCTTGCCTTTTATCCAACAAATTTATTAGATAAATACTTAGCAAGTTAAACTAAATTAACTCCGTCAGTGCGTTTGAGCTCTATAACGACTCACTTACTTGTATTCTACAGGAATGCGAGGATCCGTTGTAAATTGACTTGAATTTCATCTCCCTACTTTTGTCGCTCAGCAACACCTCGTACCGCAAATCCGTTTCGGATATGTCGATCTCGTTGGTGCCGCTGTCGTTGCTTACGGATTCGGACAGGTGCAGCGGGGGCGCCCACTGCAATAAGGCACTACGGGAACTTAGTTCTAAAACCTGAAAAACATACTGTAATTACGGCTCTGGTGCACAATAGATCCCCACGCATTTAACACTTTTTTGGGATTTGTTTGCAAGATTATCTTAAATTGAACATTTTTAAGCAAAAAAATTGTTGGATGAATGTGTTTTATCTTTAAAAAGCGGCAAAAAACGTATTTTAGGTGCAGGCGACGGACAGTAAATATGTAAAAAAGACTCAAAGGATTTATCAAGACTCTTTTGAATTTATAAATCAGGTCTCTGTGGGAAGAATGGACGCCTTTTTTAAATGCTAATTTTCCAAAATTAATAACTGGAAATTTGCAATTTGTGTACTCCTCTACCGATATCATCATAAATACAAAGAATTTTTAACCTTTGGTGCTTGCACTGATGACAAAACATCCGTTACCACCTGTACGGAATCTTCCTCATCAGGCACACTGCTCTCTTCTCCATCTTCGCTCGTACCTACACTATTCATACCCTTATCTTTCGTTGACCCTGTAGGACTCCGTTTGAGGCCGTTGACTAAATCTTTTCTGAAATATAACAATTTTTATAAAAAAAACAACTATTGTTATGATCAATAATTTCAATATTGAATAATTAATAATTCAATTTTTTATTTGAAAATATCTTACTTCCAGAACAATTTAAAAAAATAAGTTGGCGCACATGATCGCCAACCGGTTGGACGTCAATTTTAAGATATACCGGATGCGTCGATATATAAAGAGGCTCACCTCTATAACTTTTTTATTTTTTTAGATAAAAAATCGAGATTTGGTATATGACATAAATTAGGATTGATTGACGTATTCATTGTTTTTTGTCACTTCCTGTTTCACCGGATATGACTACTACTTTTGATTTTTAAATTGTACCCTAGGTGTTTTGTTGCTTTATTCGATAGAAAATGACACTCTGAATAGAATGACATATCATATGTCAACTTTTGATATTTTCGAATATGGTTTAGTAAAAAAAAAATAACGAGGGTGCCATTTAAAAATCAAAAGTTGTAGTCATTTCCGGTGAAACAGGAAGAGGCCAAAAAAAATTGAATGCTTCAATCAATCCTAATTTATGTATGTCATATACTAACATACCAAATATCGTTTTTTTATCTGGTAAAATAAAAAAGTTATAGGGTTATACTCTTTTGAGAAGCACCCGGTATACAAAAAAGAAAATGGCATCAAAACATCTATCTTGTCTATTAGACTAAAGCTAGGTCTACATCTAACGTTTTACCTGGCAGTTTAGCTTGTCAGGTAAAACTGTCTAGAAAACTGTGTGTGACGACAGTTCTCAAGACGGTCATTCTCCAAGGCGAAGAAGTTAATTTAGTTCATAACTACGCACAAGGTTTTACTTGACACGTTTGGACTGGTCAGGCAAGACTGACAGGTAAAACATTGTGTGTAAAGGGGTCATTAGAACTTAAACTAATAAAATATTATATTATACCATACTTTTATATTTAACGAATTTTTGGAAAATCATTATTTACCTAGGTGATAATTCTGGCCCTTTTTGATG